CTGCTGAAAAACACAATTCAAAGTGGCATGGTTTGCAAACTCACTTCTCAGTCAGTAACACACTGGTACCATTTCCTAGATTTGCTGGAATTTCACACCTACATACTTGTTAGCTAGTTACAGCATAAGCTCAGAAAATTACAGTTATCTTCATTTTAGAGACTGTTTGATAATCTTGGTTTTCAATGCCCGTATTAAGAACAAAACTCAGAGCTATACATCAGGGCCGTGGAATTTAAATATACGATTAACACTGTAAATAAAAGGAAACAAATTCCTTAAGGAAAACCTTTAAGCATGCCAGATCCGTTCCCAGTAGTAACTGCTCTGCTTTGACAAGAGATAAATATTTACAGTCTAGAACAGAGAACACCTTGTGTTGCAATACTAGGAATGCAAGCCTCATCAGTCCTTAATATACTTAAAAGAGCTGGGATTTTTAAGGGTTTGACTATCTGGAAGTGCATACATTAGACATTTTCCATTTATAGCACTAAAAAGAATAATTGAAGGTAATTATGTAGGGAATTTGTCAAACATACAGATAATTTGGAACAGATTTTCATGAAAGAAGACCTCATCATTCACAGGATATAGACAATCACTTATGACAAATACATATTCATGGCAATGATTCTGAGTTTTGTTTATGCCCTCACTCATCCCTATTTAAAGCAGCCCCTTAGTTTTTAAATCATAACACTCTGAAGCGCAAGCAAATCTAATACCCACTTCAAAATTCATCTGATGGTGGTTTCTTCCTTCCTCAAACTTAAATCTGTTGGTTTCAGGCCAATTACTCACTTGGAATCCTTTTAGTTGCAGGGCAAACAGTGTCTTAGTCCAACCAGAACAAAAAGATATCAAGAGCATCCTTCATGACAATGCTAGGAGTGGTTCAAGAACTGAAAGCATAGTATAACTGGGCAGGCCTACCACCCCCCAGGAAAATTCCTTACTCACACATCAGATCATCTTGTGTGAGCATGTATTACTAGGCATGTCACACACACAATTAGTAGGGACCTACCTAAAATCACAGTGGAACTGCACTGCACAGTGCTTCCTTTAATCTTGCTCTTCTTGCCACGCACCCCCTTCCCCACCACTGACCGGCTGAGAGGCCCTGGCAGCCCTGCCGCTAGCTGCTGATTGGCCAGGAGGCAAAAACCGTGGCATATTTAAAGCTACAGCTTTTGCCTTCCACCTGATGAAGAGCAAGCAGCAGGGCTGCCAGGGTCCCTTAGCCAATCAGCGGTGAGGGGAGGAAGGACGTACAGCAGAGAACAAGATTAAAGGAGCCACTAAACAATGCACTTCCGCCGCAATTTAGGTAGGTCCCTAACTATTAGTATGCGTCTTCACATACAAGTACAAAGCATACATGGATCTGTATTTCAAGTGTTATCGACTACTAAGGAGGCAGCATGGTCTAGAAGTTATAGCATGAGATTGCATACTGAAATCTCTGGACTCTACACCAAACTGTAATCAGTTCAGCTTCCTGTGTTCTTGTTAATTTAGCAATATGCCTGCCTGCGACTTATGGTATGTTTATAAAAAGCCATCACATATAAAGATTTTCGTTTTTTCACTCCCCTCCTCCTCAAAAATTTCTTTACATCTTTCAGTGTCCTACTCAGCACAATTAACCTAGTCATTATTACAATTAACCTAGTCATTATTACAACTGATTCAACTATGGTTACTCTTTGAACTGAGCACTCTGGTTTGCCTACTGTATCAGGAAAATTCGTTTTTATTCTCCCGGGGGTTTTTTGGTGCATTTTGTCTTGCATTTAGTTCTACCTTTATAAGACACAATTAATGTGCCAGTCAGATTCAGATTTGAAAAAGTCAGTACTCTGAGATTTTTAAGTAATATTTCTAAAGACCAACAATGGTCATTAAGTCTTAAATACAGAGGTCATGAAAAGAAGCCCTATTTAGTCCTCCAGTACCACTGTCTGCTATTGAATCAAGCCAGTAGAAAGATTCCTAATGGAACTAGAAAACATCTATACCCAAGCCACTCATCTGTAGCAAATATTAAATTATGCTTTGTTTTGTATGCATGTGGGCTTGTTTTAATGATTGTTTTTGTGGGAAAACACACCTCACCATGCTTAAAAAGTGCTACTGAACATACAGATAGCAAATTCACCAGGCTATCATGATTGTCTTTCATATGTTTAAGGTTATAACTTCAGTCACAAGGTAATAAAGAATTGGCCATTATGGTAAACATGCACTGCAAGATAACTTTGCATAGTAACTAAAGAACAAAGAAATGTTCCCTAACATTAGCAGCTGTTTCTAATATTAATATTGTACACAAAAAACTCAATTCTATTTGCAGAAAGTGATAGTGTGCATACATGTTTAAGAAAGCTGTCAAATACGAGGCCATCTGCCTTTCAAGCTATATTGCTACTGATACCAATGCTATTCATTGTCCTGTATCAATGCTGTTGCTAGCAATGTTCAAGAGGCAAGACTTTTTTGTAATATCTTTTATTGGATATAGGGGGCAAGCTGGGCTACAACACTTTAACCTACAGTATGGTTGATAGTGTTATATTCACTGTCCTGTATCCATGCAGCAATACAAAGTTTTTCTTCAACTTTTCCTCCAAGGACCCAGAAATATCTAGCTTTTACTCTCGGGAATGGCAAGCTTGATTCTTTTTTTAATCACTGTATGGGCTAACACAGTCTTTTACTTCCACAAGTTTGAAGACAGCAATTCTTAGCTTTTTCCTAGGTTCCAAAAGAAAGAGATCCTCTTCTCAAACACTAAGAAAGGGGTTCTCAATCCCCAGGCCATGGCGGGTCGGTTGCCGGTCTGCAATACAGTCAGCTACCAGACCAGAAGTGGCCACAGACCAGCAAGCCATGGTTTCTGCAGGGCTTGCAGCAGCACAGGGTCTGGCCCACCCCCTCGGCCGGGGTGGAGGGTTATCCTTACCCATCTGCTGACTAGAAATTAGTCACAGTCGGCTGTGACTGCTGGGCCATGACAAAAACTTTGGGAAGCCCTGCACTAACAGATTCCAAGCAGTGATGTTTTAACTCCATGACGTAATTCTTCATTCTAAAGATATTGGGAGCAAACTGAAGTAAAAACTGTACCTAAAGTGGAAAGCAATTAAATTCTGTAACACTAAGAAAAAAAAGTGCACTGGCAAACTCGAGAAAATTATTCTGGTGCGCATCCAGGAGGTGCCAGCAGGGGACTGCATGCTTAGGGGC